GAGGCGCGGGGTGAGGCCACCCGGGAGCCATCCCAGCTCACCCCGCTCATCCTTCCCGAGGGAAATGGGCTCTTTTGTTGCCTCAGATCCCTCTTTTTTTTAGCCAAATGTGCGTCGCGGGGCCCCCAGGTGGGCTCGGTTGGGTTTCTCCTGGGTTCAGCAGGATCCAGCACCCCCTTTCCCAGCGGCTCCCGGGGCTCCCAGCAGCTCCATTGGCCCCTGGGGGGGGGAATAAATCCACCCCCCCAGTGAGAAGCTGGAATTTTGGCCAGACTCCGGGCTGTACCTGTTCTGCCAGGGCTGAGCAGACGCCTGTCACCCAGCTCTGCACCTCTTTGTTTTTCTAAGTAGCTTAGGAGGAGAAAACAGGAGTCAAAAGGAGTGTCCTCTTGTTAAGTGCCTGCCAGTTAAACCCATAAACATCTGCTTATTATAAGGTGTAATTTCCTTGGCTACCAGTGCTTTAAGCCCAGTTTTGACCAGGATGCTTTTTGGTAATGACCTTATGCAAATACCTTCTGTGAAGTTAATTCAAATTCTTCTTGGCTCTTTTCTTTAATTGAATTTATTTGTATGTTTTTATTCCCCAGTACTACGAAATGTCCTACGGTTTGAACATTGAAATGCACAAACAGGTGAGTAATTTCCAGGGGGGGAAGTTGGGATTGATTGATCTCCTGTTGCCCTTTTCCTCAACCCGAGGTAAAATGGGCCCTGATTGCACTAAATAGGGAATAAGTGCTGAAGGCAGGGATGTGACTCCAGGTGGGAATCCCGTGGCCTGGCAGTTGAATTGGGAACTGCAGGTTGTTGGCAGGTTGGTGTTTTGTCTGTGCTGCTGAGAAATTCGGGTTTTAAGCGGAGTGTTTATGCGGAGGGGTGAGAACAGCCTTGCCTTCCGTGCTGGGATGTCGGTACCTGGAATAGCGCGTTCCCAAAACTGGGAAAACACTGATGTGTGCTGCGATTGCCTCTGGTTGTGTTGTTGGTACAACAGGACTGTTTCTAAGGTCATACCCTGATCTCCTCCGTGCTGTAGCGTGAGACTGAGGAGGGAATTATCTCCAGGGCTCCGATAGCTTACGGTGTGTTGCTCAATGTCACGGATTTGTCTTTGCATCTGGGAAATGAAGCAATGTTTGGGGTTGGTTGTTTTTTTTGTTTTTTTTTTTCCTCCCTTCTAGTCTCCTCTAATATGTAACTTGCCTGAAGGAAAAAATAGAGAAGGCCCCAGCAGAATGTGGTGTGGTACCTTGATAAGATTATCGTTAAAGAGCCTAAAGGCTGCGCACATGATGGTAAAACTTAAAGGAATAAAGTTATTATTGAGATTAGACCTGATTATTTGTGCTGCTGCTGCTTACTGGTTTTAGAAGGAGTTCTAATTAAGAACTTAAGGCAGATAGGAGTTGACATCAACTTTGCCGCTCGCAAATCAGCCCCATTCAGCTCCAAAGTGGTTTTGCTTAATAGCAGCATCGCCCTCCTCTAGGAAGCGTCGCTGGGAGCTGATGAAATGCAAAACAGCGTCTCTGAATCTGCCTCTCTTTTCTTCCCTTTGCCTTTCTGCGGCGCAGTCACAGGGCAACGAAAATAATTCCTGCTTAGTCTTCAGTTTTTTTAAAAATATCTTCTCCCGTGCAGATAATCCCGACTCCTCGCCCGCTCTCCGTGGCTCTGCCTGGACCCAGGCGGGGCAGGGCAGCCCTGGGGGGCTGTGAGGGGCCGGGACCCCCGTGCTGGGGGAGGCCTCAGCACGGTTTGGCCTGGGCAGGTCGGGAATCCCCCAGAAGGCAAGGGGTTTGTGTAGGCCCGTGGTGGAATCCCGCGAGGAGGGGACGGTTGTCCAGAGGGACACGGACCCTGCGGCCGCTTCAGCGACGCCCCGAGGGACTGGAGTGATGCCCGAGGGATGGAGTGACCCTGGAGGCACTGCAGTAACGTGAACACGGCTTCTTTGGGGAGAGGAAGTGCCTCTTCCCACCCGGTTGCTCGGTGTTGAACGGCTCCGCTCTGGGTGATGCTGGGAGATGCTGGAATAATGCACGGAGATGTTGGGCTTGTTCTCTCCATGGAAGCTTTGGAAGGAGTTGCCGTTCCTGAGGTGTGCAGTGTGTTTTCCCACTGGTCCGTGGATGGAACCCAAGGGATCAGTGAGGTCTGGCGCCCTTGGGAGGTGCAGGTGGATCACCCCATCCTCCGCTCCGCCGACCGTGACCACGTAGGGTGTCTTCCCTTGATGTGTCCGTGGTGGTTTTGGGGGGTGACTGAGGAGCCCCGGAATTCCCAGGGCTGGGTTTGTGCCCTGGGAGTTGCTGGGTGGTGGTGGCGGCCCGGGAGGCCCGGCGTGGTCAATGTGCTTCGCTGGGAGCTTTGCAGGGGAGCGGATAAATCCCGTCCGGATGGTTCCAGGCTGTGCCGAGCATCCCTGCCCGCTCCCGGTGACATGTGCTGCGTGCCGGGCTCGGCGAAGTTCGGGAGGCGAAGCCGCCTCGTTATTTAATTGACAGCAAAGCGCGCGGGGCCAGAGGAAAACAAAGCCCCGCGAGCTGCTCCCAGCGGCGCTTCCAGGCGAAAATGGGGCGAGAGGGAGCGGCGGGATGGGGGAGCCGGACCGCAGCGGGGGCCTGCCGAGGGTTTTCCCCCTCTTTCGGGCCGCAGCATCCCCCTGAAAGGCATCCCTGCCCGCAGCATCCCCCCGCAAGGCATCCCGCTAATTGCGGCGTGGTCCTGCCTGCATCTGGTTGAGGGTGGCTGGTCCTGAACAAACAAGTTTATCAGCTGACCTGTTTAGCGGTTGACTTGTGTTTATCTGCACACAATCAAGTAGACTGAAGTGCTTGAATTATTCATGCAGTGTCCTGCCCTCCAGACTTGACTGCTTGTGATTACATCTGCTCCAGACAAACATTGATGGATACTTCATCTTTAAGCAAAAGGGGATTGTCTGTCTGTGGGCTTATATAACAGATTATCTCTTCTACGCTGAATATTAAGTGTGTGCATATGTGGCTGCGTGTGGGGTTGTTGTGTTGTTTTGGTTTTTTTTTTTTCCTTCCCCCCTTTCTTCTCGTTTTGTTTCTTGTTAAGTAAAAAAATGTACTTTCATAAACAACTCCATATGCAAGGAAATATTTAGGAAGTGACTTGGTTGCAGTGAATCGCTCCTTACATCAGTCTTCCTGCTGAACTAAGCTCCCTTACCCGGGCTCAGCTTTCTTAAACCCGAGTCCAATCATGAGTTTTCCTTTGAAACCCCGGCAAAACTTTTTTTTTTTTTTTTTTTTTTTTTCCCCTTCTTAGGGCTAATTGATTTTTCCAAAAGAAACTTTGCTTCCCCTGTTGGCTTTGCATTGTTTCTGTGCAGATCTCCGTGGATAATCGCCGACTGCAATAACCATTCCAAAAGAAAAACTAATTTTGCGTGGGGAAACGGGACACCTCGGAGGACAGAACCTTTGTGCTGGGTTTTATTTCTTTTTATGGCTGAGAACCCTCCACATAAGCACTTCTTGTTTTCGTGCTTAAACACTTAATGCTTGGAACAAACCTAAACCCCCCTGACACTTCCAGGGAAGAGAGGCAGGGTTTTTTTTTTTTTTCTCTAGAATATTCTAGGAACACAATATACTTTCTGTCATGCTCGTTAGCGAGGAGTGCCAGGTAATAATTTGCTAAATACTTCAGAAGCCGAGTAATTTGTTAGCTCTGCTCTCAGGTCTCCTAAGGTAGAAGGGAATATTGTCAGAGCTTCACCTCTCCCTCCCCTCGGCTCTGCAGGTGGATTTTTGGGGGTGCTGGGTGCCTTTTGGGGCTCTGAGTGGGCTTTGCCCCCCACATGCCGGTTGCTGGTGGTAATTCCGTAATGAGGGGTTGTGTCCTGCCCCTCCACCCCCCTCCTGATTTAATTCTCATCAGCCTGGCTCTCCACTTTGCTAATAACGATAGCAGCCACAAATAGCTTTCAACATGCCATTGACAGCCCGGTTGGAGAGAGCACTTGAAATAGTGGTAGACAGCTGAAAGTACCCATAATTGTGCGCCGGAGTGAGAACCACACTGCTCAAGGGCCTTATTTTCATGTGCTTAAAGAGACAATATCCTGGTTTCAACAAATGCTGCTGGTGCTTCACGGCTGGTGTGATTTACTCCTCGCTTCTCCCTCCGCCCTCTGCCAGGGAGGAGGTTTGGGGGGGCTATACAGCACGGGAGGGGTTGTCCTGGAGTGCCTAAAGGAGGGCTGGGGGGGTCCAGACCCGTCTTGGAAACAGTACTGGGGGGATGTGTGGAGGGATCTGTGGTTTGGGAGCCCAGGAGAAGCTGGGGGCTCCTGGGTGGCAGTGTTGTGTGATGGTGAGATGGTGCTGGTGCCACGTTCTGCATCCCACAGACCATCACCTTTGGCAGCCCCACCAACCCCACTGCTCCAGTGGTGTGTTTGTATATTTATACATGTGTGTGTTTATACATTTGCACTTCCCCAGGGCAGTGGGCACGGCCCCAAGGCTGCCAGAGCTCCAGGAGCGTTTGGACAACGCTCTGAGGGACAGGGTGGGATTGTTGGGGTGTCTGTGTAGGGCCAGGAGTTGGACTGGATATTCTTATGGGTCCCTTCCAGCTCAGGATAGTCTGTGATATAGATATGTATGTTTTGGGGTGTTTTCCAAGAGGAGGAAGGGCAGTGCTGTGTGTTCATCCCTTCTCTTCATTCTTCATCCTGACATATAAATCCATAAGCAAGGGCAGGTGGAACTGGGGCTGCTGTGGCCCAAAATCTGTTCTGAGGCTCTGTCTGCCATGGCCTGGTGTGCACTGCTGTGATTCCCTTCCCTACAGAGGTTTGGGGTGCTTTGTGCAGGGTCTTTGGGGGTGTTCCCCTCAGAGTGGTGGTTGTGGGGCTGTTTTATGAGGCACCTCCATCCTCCCGAGGACTGGGAGCCCAGAAGGGGTTTGGATCCCATCCTATGCCATGGAGGAATGCTGGGACCAGCCTGGGGGTGCATCCCCAGGGCTGGGGCATCCCTGCAGCTCCTGTTTTCCTCCTCGGCTGTGTCCAAGGCTGATGTATTTTGGCTCCATCACCCAGAGCAGTATCCGTGGGGTATCACGCAGGACCCCCCAGCTTCCAGCCTGGAATTCTGCACTCCTGTGCTCTGGGTCATTTCTGAGGCAGCTCCTTTCAGCCCTGCTCTGTGACTGACGGGCCACAGGGTTATTTTTAAACTTCCCTCTGCCACATCCAGGTGTAAAGACGAGCGGCCGTGGGGCCGGAGCTGCTGGGCAGAGCCAGCCCCGAGCTATTTAACACCATGCCAGCCTGTTCCTGCTCCCAGAGCCCCATCCTGCCTCCTGACAGGCTGCCAGGAGCAGCTCCTTGTGCCCTCCAGAGCTCTGGGTGCCGGTGGTGGCTCTGGCCATTTTAAGAGCGGGTGGGGTGACAGGACCCAGCGGTCCCTCTCTTGATTTATCACCAGTGCAAATGTTTTCTCTGGTTTCCCCCTCCGTGCTGGTGAAACACCAGCCCAGAAGTGTTTCTGCTCAGGCAGGAGGTCAGATTCTTGGCAGGGGCAGGGGGTGATGGGGGGTTAGTGGAGGATTTCAGGTTCTCCAACCTCTTGCCCTTTTTAACGCCCATCAGCATCTCTGTGCCCGGGTGAGTGTCCCTGAAGGTGCTCCCACGGACCCCGGGAGAGGCACCCAGCACCCACTGAGCACCTCCCGTGGGGGTTTGGGGGGGTGGGTACCTCTCCTGGGCGCTCCCCAGGGTGTTTTATCCCCACTCGTTTGCAGCTGTGGTCCAGGGAAGATGCAGGGCATCGGAAGGGGATGCAGAGCCTGGGATTGCCATGGCAACCTGCCGTGGGGAATGGAGGTTTTTCTTGGCAGGACCAGCTCGGGGGGGCTCGGGGGGCTCTGTCACTCTGGGAAGGTGATGAATGAGCCCTGTTATGGGGAAGGTGTTGGGCATGAAGCCCTTCCCTGTTCCCGACGTGCCGGAGGATCCCCTTTCGCTCCCGATTAAACTTTTAATGGGGACAACCAGAGTTTAATATTCTGTGCAATGGGAAAAGTTAAAGTGAACAAATATTTAAAGACTGTTGAATCTCATGTTCGCAGGAAACCTCACGGTTGTAAACATAATATTTTGGACATCTAATATCTTTCTGCTCACTGAGTCCCATGTGGGAAGTCTCTCCCTTTGCGGAAAATCTTTGTTTGAAGTTTGGGCAGAAGTGGATTTAAATGTGGAGGAGATGGGTTGTTGTGAGCCTGGACCGTGTGATTCCCGGGGAAAACCCAGCACCTTCCCTTCCTCCTCCCTGCCATCAGCCTGTTTGGGTGCTGTATTTTTCCTGTCACACCGACCCCACCCCTGCGACGCAGCCCGGGGAAGCTCGTGCTGGCACTGCTGTTTTCACCTCAAATAAGGCTGGAATTTGTTCTGGAACTCACAGGAGCAGCAGCCGGGCTTGTCGCATCCAGAATCCAATGGGCTTCAGCTGAAGGAATAAATATTTAATGGAGCTGCAGTCTATATATAATCTAATCGATGCCTCAGTGCCAAAAAGCCTTCAAAGAGCTTTTGCTCTGCCCGGGCAGCGCGTGGTGGGAGCGCTGGGCTGGCTGGTGGCACACGCGGTGCCAGCCTGGCTCCTTCAGACACGGTGCTGTGGCTGGGCTGGATTTGGGCAGTTTCAGCTTCCAGCCCCATTTTTGGGGTGCAGAGTGGTCCTGGGGTGATGTGTGAGTGTGAGGTGGTTAAACACTTGTGCTGGCCAGAGCCTGTTCCTCGGGGCAGGGATCTCGCGCTGTCACGACAGTGAAGTGTCGCTGCAGTGACAGGACAAGGGGAATGGCTTCCCACTGCCAGAGGGCAGGGTTAGATGGGATTTTGGGAAGGAATTCTTCCCTGTGAGGGTGGTGAGGCCCTGGCACAGGTTGCCCAGAGAAACTGTGGCTGCCCCATCCCTGGAAGTGTCCAAGGCCAGGTTGGACGGGGCTTGGAGCAACCTGGGCCAGTGGGAGGTGTCCCTGCCCATGGCAGGGGGTGGGACTGGATAATGTTTAGGCTCCCTTCCCACCCAAACCATTCCAGGATTCCATGAGCCCCAGCTGCCTCCTGATCTGTGCATCCTCACGTTGGGGTCCGTGATAATCCTGGTGACTGGTGTAGCTGTAGCTGGGGGTACCTGAGTCCAACCCCTGGTCACCTCCTGGTGCTCCTGCCTTGGCACGGTGTGCCAGCACGTTCTCCTGCTCTCTGGAATTGCTAATTAAAGCATGAGGTGTAACCCAATCACTGGGGTGCTTTCAGAGAAGAGGATGGCCAGAAATATCCCTGTGGCTCAGCAGCCAAAAGCAGCAGTGGGGGGTGTGTGGGGACCCCTCGGAGCAGGACCCCGAGTTCTGGGGTCTGTGGGGTTGTTCCCTCCATGGGGGTGGCTCAAGACTGGGGGAGAGCAGGGTTTTCCTGGTGTCTCCTTGCTTATGGTCATCCTGGGAATGTCGGTTGTGCCTGTTGGGTTGGTCTTGTAGTCACAGCAGTGTGACCTGGCCATCACCCAGCTCCTCCCAGCAAGGGCTGAGTGTCTGTTGGGCATTTGCTCCCAAACTGTGATATTTGGGGATTTTCCTTGCAGTACTTGAGAGCTGGGCTGGATGGGCTTCGAAAGCCAAGCTGCTATAGGACCCATCCACAGGGCTGAGCTGTGGGATCAGGAAGGTGAAGCTTTGGGATGGCAGGGATGGATTTGGGGGGCACAGAGGGGGCTCTCTGAGGGGGAGTGACTGCTGGCTGCCTCGGGAAGAGGCCCCTTGCCAAGAGGGAGGCTGGAGCGAGCCCAGGTTAATCACTTGTGTTATTGATAACGAGCTGCTCGGGGCTGTCGGAAGGAATTTCTGGGTGTTTGATTCCCTGCCAGCCTCGGCCTGGCCATTGTTGTGGCTCTGGATCCTCGGCTGCTCCGGCCCTGTTTGACTTGGAGCAGGAGCTGTTTTCACAGCTGCCCTGGCGGAGCAGCCGAGTTAACCCTTGGGAGCTGAGTGATCCCAGGATAACCCTTGGGAGCTGAGTGATCCCAGGGTAACCCTTGGGAGCTGAGTGATCCCAGGGTAACCTTTGGGAGCTGAGTGATCTTGTGTTAACCCTTGGGAGCTGAGTGATCCCAGGGTAACCCTTGGAAGCTGAGTGATCCCAGGGTAACCCTTGGGAGCTGAGTGATCTTGTGTTAACCCTTGGGAGCTGAGTGATCCTGGTGGGAGCTGGGAGAGCCTGGCAGGAGCGTCTGTGGCGTGTGTGGGAGGGTGGCACCTTCCAGCTCTGGGCTGGGGGCATCCCTCCAGGAAAACAGCATTCCCAGTTAATTATTCCCACAGTTATCAGCACAGTTGGTTGTTACAGTCCCAATAGCTCAGTGGAGCTGGTGGTGGGTCTGGGTTGTTCCTGAGTGGGATGTGAGGATGGGGAAGGGAACACCACCAGCTTCATGTGGGGTGGGCAGAGGGCAGAGCAGGGACCCCCAGACCTCACTGGTGTCTCTGCCAGGGTTTCTCCTGGAGAAACTCAACACCCACCACAGTGCCAGGAGTGGGAGGTGATGGCAAGGGCCACCAAAAACTGGATTTTCTGGGATCCAGCCCCCAGCAGCTGCTCCAAGGATGAGGAGCTGTGCCAGTGCTATGTTTTCATGAAGCCAGGGAAGTGCAGGGTGGTGCAGCACTGCTGGGGCTGGTCCGTGACACTCATCCCATGATGGGAAGGGGCCTCAAGTGTCCCAGGGCAGCAGGGATGTGTCCCTGTGCTGCTGTGCTTGAAGGTGCTTTTATTGCATCTGTTGGGAGCTGCTGCTTCCACTTGGAGGGGTGGGAGGGGACGGGAATGGGTTGTGTGGGAAGGGACGTGGAGGGGCACAGGGAGGGGATGCACAGCACTGCTCTGGGGAGCCTCGAGCTGTCTGTGGGAGGCTGTTTGGTGCTGACTGTTGGGTTTTCTTCTTCCTTTTTTTCAGACAGAAATTGCTAAAAGACTGAATACAATTTTAGCCCAGATCATGCCTTTTCTGTCACAAGAGGTAAGGAAGTTTTCACACCCTGGGTGGGGAGTTGCTGCTTCTCCCAGGGGGGTTTCCCCAGGCGGGCAGTGCTGGGGTCCCTCGTGGGTCCCTGGGGGTGGGGGGCTGAGTGAGAAACGGGGTTCAGATCCTCCATGTGCATTGGAAAACCCTTGGGATGGGGGAAAGCTGGGCCCTGTGAAGGGGCTTGGGGGTCTCCAAAAAGGCTCTGAGGGGCTTCTCCACCCCCCTGCACCCCGTGGAGCTGGGAGGTGCTCCTGGGGGTGAGCAAAATAGAGCCCAAGAGAGGGGTGAGCATCTCTGGAGGGGGGTCCTGCCCCTGGGCTGGTCCCCCTATGCCCAGCTCTGACCTGGCCCTGCCCCTCTGTCCCTGCAGCACCAACAGCAAGTGGCACAGGCTGTTGAACGTGCCAAGCAAGTGACAATGACGGAGTTGAATGCTATCATCGGGGTACGTGGACTTCCCAATCTGCCTCTCACCGTGTGTATACCCCTTTTATTCCTATCATTTACCATAACCAGAGGCAATCCTGCGCTCAGGAGGGATAAAGCAGGGCAGCTCACACCCCCCCCAGCCATCCCATGGCCCCCCCAAATGACCAAAACTCCCCCAGTCTGGCATTGAGTGAGACAAGGGGTGGAATCTCCACCTCCTGCCACCTCCCGGGTGCTGGTGCAGCTCCAGGAGCCTCCAGTGACCAAATTGGGTGTTCCCCATGGTCTGGGCAGTGTTTGGGGTGCAGAGCAGGACCCAGCAGCCCTCACAGACCCCCTGAGCCCAGGCTTGTCTCTGCTGGGCTGTTGGTGTGGAATGTGCTGTGCCCTTGGCAGGGTTGTTGTCCCATGCATTGGTGACCCGCTCCCGCTGGCCGGGCTCTCTCTCGCAGACCTCGGGGGGGGTTAATTTGAGGATTAACCATTTTTATTGTTTCTTTAATTGATGTCACGGTCTCAGTCCTGCAGCAAACCTGCTCCTCACCCTGGGGCATCGGTGTCCCCTTCCAGCATCCCGGGCAGGTGGCTCCAGAGCTCCTCTGGCTTTAGGTCTTTGTTTTCCAGAAAATGCTCATTTTTAATGCTCTTTTTTTTTTTTTTTAATAACTATTTGCACTTCTTAAGCTCCAAGGATCTTTATAATTCTTTGCACTTAACCTGCTCTTCTCTACGTTTTTCTGTATTTTGTGGGTAGCACCAAAGGTAGAATTGGGCTCTGAGCTGCTTCAGTCTCTGGGGATGAGGAAAGGTTCGGTAGCAGATGGATCCCTGGTGGTGGGGTTGGTGGCTCTTGGGAAGTGGCCCAGGGATGGGAGCTGAGTTTTGGGGTGGCAGGCAGCACTGTGGAGCGCTGGGAGGTGGGCAGAGACAGGGAGGAGGGAGCCCATGGCTTTGATGAGCTGCTTGGAGCCGCAGGCAGGAGCCCCCGGCAGCTGGAGGCAGATATTGGAATTCAATTAAGGTGAATGAGCAGGGCCCGTGACCCCCATTTCCGAGGTAATTGCTTCCTTGGATCAGAGCGAGTGCCTCCTGTCATTAAGCAGCCAGCCCAGCCGTTTAATCGCTTTCCTGACGAACTTTCAGCAGGAATTATGGGCATCTCCTCCCGCCGTGGCTTGTTGGGGAGGGACACGGTGCTGGCAGGAGGCTGGTGGGCAATTCCACATCCTTCCATGGCTTGTAGGGGAGGCCAGAGCTCGTCCTGGAGCTGTGGAGCTGGTTTGGGTGCCGGGTCTGTGCTCAGGTGCCCCTCAAGGCACAAAACCCCAACAGTTTTTGGGTTTTTCTCCTGAAAAAACTGCACATGCCACTTTGTTATTGGAGGGTTGCTGCTGGCAGGAGGGTGGTGGGTGATTCCATGTCTTGTAGAGGAGGTTCCAGGCTCATCCCAGAGCTTTGGAGGTGGTTTGGGTGGCGGGTCTGTGCTGCTGCACCTGCTCTGGTGCCCCTGAGACACCAAACCCAGAGGATTTGGGGTTCTTTTCTCTCCCCTCTGTGCATGGAGTGGTTTGTTATTGTAGGGCTGCTGCTGACAGGAAGGTGACGAGTGATTCCATGTCCTTCCATGCCTTATAGAGGAGGTTCCAAGCTCACCCTGGAGATGTGGAGCTCGGTCTGTGCCGCTGCACCTGCTCAGGTGCCCCCAAGGCACCAAACCCAGAGGATTTGGGGTTCTTTTTCCTCCCCTCGTTGCACACAGGGGTTTGTTATTGTAGGGTTGCTCATGTGGACACATCCCTTGTGTTTGTTTGCTCTCCTGGTGGGTGAGGGCAGCACTGGGGTGTGCACAGCCCCACCCCTGTGTCCCTGGGGATCCCGTGTCCCTGGGGATGGGTGGCCCTGCTGTCCCAACCCTCCCACCACGGGGAGCCCTCCCAGACTGCCCCAGCCCCAGTGCAGGTGCTGCCTCACACAAAAACCCACCAAATCAGGAAAACATTTTTTTTTTTCGCCCCTTTTGAGGTCAAGAACTGTTAATTTTATGCATCTAGGCCATTGTCTCACAGTTCCTCTGCTTCAGGCTTGTGTGAAATTGAGCCCTTGATTTGGTTATAGCTCTGGAAATGATTAGACTACTTTACTAAATTTAACGCAAGTGGTGAACTTAAGTGGTGAACCATTAAATCGGTGAACAAAGGCATGAAGCATGATGTACATAATCCAATTAAAGCCACTCCACGGACCAGATATTCCTTGCCAGCTTTCTCCTAAATTTATAACCTCTTCATATCTTCCCCATCTTTGGCTGGCACGTGCTGAGGGACCCCAGGAGGAAGGAGACCTCTCGGTGTCTGTGCGTCCCTCTTGGCTCCCGCTGCCACCCCGGGTTGGGTTTGCAGGGTCTTTATCCACTGCCAGCTGCTGTCCTGGGACATGTGGGGACATGGATCCGTTCTGGGGTCCTGCCAGCAGATGAGGAGCCCCAGGGGAGTGTCCTGAGCAGGTCTGAGCTTGTGGTTCAGCCGGGGAGGTGTTGGGAGGGTCCCTGGTTCTGAAAGGCTGCTCTGGGTCCTTGTGCTGCGTCACTCGTTGACCAGGACCTTGATCCCTGTCCTGTCCCTGCCATCAGCACCCAGCCGTGGGTGCTGGGGAGTTTTTGGGAGCCCAAAGATCTCCTGCATCCAGCCCATTCCTGGGATATTTGCAGCAAGCTCTCACATGGTGTGCTTTTAAAAACAACCTTTTCCAGGGTTGGAATAAGGGCCGGGGAGGGAAGTTGGGCTTTCCAGCAGAGGACACCGAGCGAGCACCACCCCTGTGCCGTGGTGGAGTCCCACGGGGCCTCCAGGATGTTATTCCTGAGGAATGTGCATCGACTGCTCCATGGGCTGAAGAAGAAACGCAGCCATGGAGTCCCAGGCGGGCTTTGTGCCACTCCATGGAGTCTCCAGGATGTTATTCCCGAGGGATGTGCATCAGTGGCGTGGCGCGGATGGGAAGGACGGCGGAGGGAGCTGGGAGCGGAGCCTGGGGATCCTCCAGCACCACCCGGAGATGTGCACTGGGCCTGTTGGCTCATCCTCTTCTCCTTGCCCTGGGAGTGATCCAGCTGGGACACGGCTCCTTCAGCGGTGCCGGGATGGAGCTGTGCAGCCCCGAGGTGGGATCTTGGCGACTCCGTGGAGCTGCAGTGCTGGATGGAGGGACAAGGCTTCCCTTGTCCCACATGGACTTCCCACATGGATTCTGCTCGCCGGTTCCTGCTGCCAGAGGAACACCTTTCAGTGTTATTTTGGGCCACAGTGGGATGTTGTGTCCTGACCTTGGTTTCCACGCCCCCCCGGAGTGGGGCTGCTGTGAGGGGCTGTTCCCGCAGCTCACGGAGCCCTTGGATGGATTTATTTGTTGACAGCCTAAAGAAAAGGAAGAAAAACCAGTTTCCTGCTGTGCTGGAGGGTGAGGCTCTGGGTGCTGAGTCTCCTGCTCAGAGTGCTGCTGTGTCACTGTGGTGGAGCTGTGTTGTCCCCTGGGGCTGTGCTGGGGCCGTGATCCCCATCGTCACCCCGGGAGTGGAGTGTTGCTGCCTGGATCCAGGATTTCCACGAGACCACATCCCTTTTTTGGGGCTCCTGGGTGAAAAGCTGCTGGGATGAGTTAAGCCACGCAGATGTTTAAGGTGGAGGTTGGAGACTGCTGAGGATAAAACGTTGGATCTCGGTGTGTTCCGGCCCTGCAGGGATGGGCACCCCTGGAGAGCCTGCAGGAGAGGAATGTGCTGTGCTGGAAAACCATCTGGGACCATTCTCTGGGTGATGTTCTCAAACAATGGCCAGCCCTGCCTCTCGCTTCAGTGGGTGGAAATCACATGGAATTGGGATTGCGAGGAGCCTCATTGATTTCAGGAAGAGCTGAGGATCTGTTCCACTTGCTTTGGTGTTGGAGGGATGGTCTTGGCACGTGTGTGTGGCAGGAGATGGAGTTACTGAGGGAATCACCCCTTGTGGTGCTCCCTCACCCCACCAGCTCTCCTTGTAGGAGGACACTCCTGGAATGGCGATCCTGAGGATGTTTCCTGTCCTTGCCCTGCGGATGGAGCAGCCTGGGAGAAGCTTCCAGCTCCTGCTTTTTGAGGGCACAGTGATTTATGCTTTTCCTATACCAGAGGCCTAATTGCCTTCTCCATTTGGCTTCTGCCCCAGCCGGGACCTCGGTGCTGCCTGGAAGAAGCTGTTTGGAGATTATGCAGCTCCTGCCTTCGGCTCCCACCCTGGATCTCATCCTGGCCGAGGATTTCCCTCTCCGTCACAGCCCTGGGAAGGCTCCCACCTCCCCTGCCCCAGCGAGGGGCTGCTCCACCCCGCTGTGCCTGCAGTGTGACAGCCAGGCCCACCTTCTGCTGCCCCAGGACGGGTCCCTCCGTGGGCAGTGGGTGGGAGCTGTTCCCATGAAGACTTGGCTTTGGTGTGGGAAAACTTACCACAGAATCCTGGGATGGTTTGGCTTGGAAGAGACGTTAAAGCTTATCCAGTTCCACCCTCTGCCCTGGGCAGGGACACCTTCCATAGCCCAGGCCATGTCCAGCCTGGCCTTGGACACTTCCAGGGATGTGGGACACCTGGGGGTGTCTTCTTCCAGTTCTGCTGGAAATGTCCGTGATGGAACTGCTGGAATCATGGAGTGCTCTGTACCTGGGGATGTTTTTGGTGTATTCCTGCTGGTGTCCCTGGAGCTGGGCAGGGTGGCAGCAGGTCCTGCTGTTTGCCCGTGCCCTTTGGGGGCCCTGGGCAGGACACGGGTCGGTGCTTGGTGACGCTGAGGACGAATCCTGAGCCGAGGTGGTCATGGGGATCTGGAGGAGTCTGGGAGGCTCCACTGCAGCTCAGGTGTCCCCTCCCAGCCCCTGATTCCTGCTGCTGCCCAGCTGTGACTTCACTGGGAGCTATGGGGTGCTGCCCGAGGGGCCGTGGGTGCAGGCAGGAGGGTCCCAGACAGGAGTGCCAGCTCCAAGACCCTTCTGGCTGGACCAGGGGTGTCCTGGGAGCGGAGGAGCTGCGGGAGGGGGGGCCTGGGGACTCCTGGAAGCAGCTCCACGGATTTCAGCAGGTTTTCTTCCAAGTTTGTGTTTGAAATAGAACCGCTGGGGATGTGTTTGGTTTTCCTTTCCTCTCCCCAGAGCTGTAGTTGAGCTTTTTGCAGCTGTAATGGAGCAGGGAATCAATCCCCATGGCTGGATGAGTGTGTGCTGGGATGGCTGGGACTCAGGGCTCCCAAAAA